TCCACACTGCGTGTAAAGCCTACTTAAAAAAAATAAATAACTAAAGAAAAACAGAAATAAAACTTATAAATAAATAAAATTTGCTAAAGACAGTCCTATCCTCATTTCTACGACAGTGATGAAGTTTAAATGATTTGATGACAAATATCCTGCTTGCAAGCTAAGCACGGGGGGGGGGGGAGTGAAAAGAAAGACAATTCACTTATCCACAAATCTCAGACATCCTACTCCATACTAGATTGTACCACTTTATTATTTTTTTTAATGTTTATTTATTTTTGAGAGAGAGAGACAGAGTGTGAGTGAGGGAGGGGCAGAACAGGAGACACAGAAGCTGGAGCAGGTTCCAGGCTCTGAGCTGTCAGCACAGAGCCCAATGTGAGGCTTGAACCCACAACTCTGAGATCATGATTTGAGCCAAACTTGGACACTTAACCAACTGAGCCACCCAGGCACTCCTAGATTGTACCATTTTGGAAGAAAATTCCATCTTTTTCACAACTAATTGTCCCGATCCAGATACATGGAGAATGTTTTCACAGTCAGAAGGGATTACTGACAGAAAAAAGGGATTAGAGAAAAAAGGGAATTCAGCATTTTTTTTAGCTTAGAAAGTAGGTCGATACATTTGTATGGAAGAAATATCATAAATACTGACCCAAAACAAAATATTCTCACCGAGGGGCCTTAAAATCCAAATGGAGCTTAATCTGAATCCACAAAGTTCACAAAACTAAAGAACTTTTTGAAAACTAGTTAAAAATGGTAAGGAAATCTATACACATTCCTTAGATAAACAGATGTGCCAAACTTTAAGACATTCTTCAGTAAAGAAATATCTGAGACAAGATTAAACACAACTCCAATAATCCTGTTTGTTACCACAATCAAAGCCCTGGAACAGAGTCAAAACCTTTGGATCTGAACCTGTTAGTTTCCCAAACCTGCATATCAGGTACAGAATACTCTGGACTAAGAATGGCAAAAGGAACCTGAATCCAGGGCCACCAAAAAGAGGATTTTTTTTCGGGATTATCTCCAATGTTACAAGGGCCATTGCCATCGACTGCAAGAAATGATCTTCATAATCCATCCCAAGACCTATTAGAGACACAGTTATCTTCAACTAATTATCCCCTGAAAAACAAAATGGTATTTACTAAGCAGAACGAAGTACTCAGTACAGCCATTCTAAATTGTCATAACTTTGCCATGTTACATGGCAAGTAAGAAGCCAATTCCTGGCTCTCCCATTTGATAACTTCTTTGCCCCCAAACGCTCTTTCTGCATATTAAGTCAAAATCTTGAGATCTAAGACTGACACAGACACCAGCAAACGAATCACCTGATTTCCCTACCAACATTGTTTTTCTCCATAAAGTTCTACTCACCATTTTAAAAATCCCCCTTTATAGGGTGCCTGGGTGGCTCAGTCGGTTAAGTGTCAGACTGGCTCCAGTCATGATCTCACGGATTTTGAGTTTGAGCCCCGCATTGGGCTCTGTGCTGACAGCTTGGAGCCTAGAGCCTGCTTCAGACTCTGTGTCTCCCTCTCTCCCTGCCCCTCTCCACTCATGCTCTCTCTCAAAAAAAGGTAAACATTAAATAAAAATTTTGTTTAATACCTGTCTATAATAATACCAAGAAGTACTCATGAATTTAGCCTGTAGTTCCCTAGGCTAAAAGCCTTGAGAGGGAGAGTGGAGCAAAAAAAAAAAAAAAAAAAAGTGGGAAATTCTCTCTCTCTCTTCAGTGCTCTGGACTTTGAAAGCTAGGCAGAAGCAATGATTCTGCACTTAATCAGCAGGTGAATAAGAAACAGGTTTGAATTTAGAAGAAGCATAAAGGAGTGCAAGAACATTCAGTAAAGAATACTGACTCCATTTCCTTGCAGAGCAGCTCTCAGGACCTGCCAATGAACCTCAATTTGACAAGGAACACCCCATCTACTCTAATCCAGGACATATCCCTCAAAAGACAGTCAATCAACCGGAACTCTGCCAACTTCTGCTTGGGAGTTGTGTGGAGCACAGTAGCAACAAGAGCCTACTTTGAGAAGGAGATCAACAATCACACTCAAGAAGAAAAGAAGTTATTTGGCAAAGGGAAGCATGTTGCCAAAATGTTAGTCACAGCTTAAGGTCCCAGTTTGTGTCTCTGCAACTATTCTTTGCTCTGACAGAGTCCATTCTCTGGCCCAGAAAACCCAGCTCAGCTACTGTCATCTTCTCCATTTAAAGCAGTCAAAAATCCTTTCATTTTTGAGGTATCAAACTGTGACACAGACAACATATCAACCAGAGACTAAAAAGAACAGGGAAAGAATGTGTTATTTGCCATTTTCCACCTAGGACTGGCTCAAGTAGAGCAATGGAAAAACGTGACAGGATAGGAAGAATGGAAAATCATTATGTTAAAGAGCAGGCTATACCAAAAGCCTGCCCAGAGCTCTGAACTCCCATAACTTATTTCCAAACCCTCTGAAAAACAAACCAAAGAGACACCCTGTGGTTGAAATAACGGCAAAATATTAAGCTGGTTTTTACCCCCAAATAAGTATGTACTATATACTTCATAGCCTGAAGATCTTCCTGCTCTTGCTGGGGTAAGAAGACTATAGTTTGCTTGAGAACAGCCTGAACAAGCCCAAGACTTTCAGAATCATTTCAGAGCAATAGGAAAACAGACACAAGTACACTAGGTTACTCTCCCAATCTAAGAAGAGGTCAAGAAATTGTCTCTTCGACAGGGACAGGACTTCTTCCTTTCTTAAAAGCCATTAATAAAACCTGAAAACTCCACTGTTATCAACATCTTCCACCTTGCCCTGCATTTCACCTTTGTGCTGACATCACATAACTAATCAGTACCAACTAAAGTAAACACTACGGATATCAAGTATGAGGTAGATTTGGAAACTGCCCCCTCTTAAGCAAATCCAAGTCAGACCTCAGAAATGCCAAGACTTTCAGGAACACTTCTTCTAAGCTAAATTAAATAAGTTCACCTATGAGCAAAGTGTTTAGAATATTATGCCCAAAGAAAAAATTAGAATAGTCAAGATTTCAAAGTATTAACAATAAAGAAGCTGAAACTGGCCACAAGCACACTCCTCCCCACCAACGGGGCCAAACTGCCTGGACCAAAGCAAAAGGCTCAACTAAATAAAGTACTATTTTTCAGCGAATTCTCAGAGTTCATTGAGGAAAGTCAGTGTTTGTCAAGGGTAAAATAAAACACTGCATTCTCTCACATTCCTCATCAACCAACCTCATTCAACCCAAGCTCTAACTTCCCTATCTCCATCTTGATGGTAGCCAATACAATGTAACAAGTAATATGAAATTCTGGGCTACTAAAAGTTGACTCGGAAAAAAGTTAAAAAACTGAACATGTATTAAATCAAAACCAACTATATTCCCTGGCACAACAAACGCGGAAAACCAACTATTCCCTGGTGTAACAAACGCAGCAAGGCTGAGAAGAAACTGAGAAAACAGGTCTTCTAAATACCAATATCTCAATCTTGTTGTCAGAGATCACTTCTTTGCAACCACTTTAAAGATCCCATTTAGGGGCACCTGGTGGCTCAACGGGTTAAGCATCTGATCCTTGATTTTGGCTCAGGTCATGATCTCACAGTTTGTGACTTCGAGCCCTGTGTTGGGCTCTGTGCTGACAGCAAGGAGCCTGCTTGGGATTCTCTCTCCCTCTCTCTGCCCCTCCTCTCCCTCAAAATAAATAAATAAACTTAAAAAAAAAAAAAGTCCCACTTAGTTAAAACAATCTTTCAGAAGCAGAGAAGAACCAAACCTGTCTTTCAAAGGGGGGGGGGGGGGAAGGACAGTTTAATGACTTGCCTCAAAGTTACTTAGTAAATCCATTGGTATGCTAGAACAGTCCTTATTCCCCAAGGTTCTCTTTTGGTTTGTAGGAGGAGACAAAAGCCACCAAAACATTCCGTAAACCATTCAGAAAACAATGAGTAAAAACAGCACCATGAAAAAGGAGGTGGATCCTGGGGGAGCCCAAAGCAGTAACAGATTATTCAAATCCCTTTAAAAATACAAACTCCAGTACAGGCCAGCTTCTTCCAGCTCCTCAGCCGTGCGTTCTCTCTTAGTAATTTTCCTTCCTGATCAGTAACTTACCACCACACGCTGCCCACGTCTAACACTTTAAGATTTCCATCTTCCCTTGCTTCACACCACTCCAATCTGAACCCTCAACTCTAGGTTGCTCCCATGCGCAACTCAGTACTTCTCATACCTTTATCTCAACTCTGATTCTTTCTCCACCAACGCTCTCAAGATACCCTCTAGTGTAAGCAGCTTCCCGAATCATCCTAAACCATTGGTTGTCACTCAACTCAATCCCTAAAATGTCACAGTGGCCTCCTCACTCAGCATCCTGTTAATTACCTGTTCACAACAAGTCCGCCCTCCCCATCTCCCTTTAGGCGCACGTTACTTGTTCCTCACTCCCAGTTGCCGTCTTAGTTACCTTACCCAACCCTTCAGGATTCCTTATTTCCTGTCTCTCAGTAACCTTCCTTCCCATTTTCAGTCAGCGCTCGTCCCACACCAATTCCCGACCACTCCTCCCTACTTAGATTGCCCACGCCCCGCTCCAAGCTCTTCAGACCCAGCCCAGCGTTCCACACACCCCTCAGACTCCGCCCCCTCGCAGCGCCATACCCAGCCTCCTCGGCCTCCTTTCGACCGGGCTGTAGCTGCCCCGGGAGCGAATCCTCCGCCACCTCCGCTCCGGCTTCGTCCGCCCCGGCTTCGTCCCGTCCGGCTAGCTCCCCAGCAAGCTCCCTCTCTCGCCGCCGCCGCCCCTTTTGCCAACCCGGAAATGGATCTGCTCCCACCGTCCCCAGCGTCCGCGAACAAAATGGAGGCGGGGGAAAGAGGCGGAGGGAGCAGGGGGCGAAAAGACACTACACGCACGCGCTATCGGAAAGCCCGCCCCCTAACGGCGCACGTAAAGGCGGAAGCGGTCGGGTAGCCGCCATCTTGGGAAGGTCGCGAAAATTCCCCCTGCCTCCTCAAAGCAGGGTTTGCAACTTCAGCGATTGGAATCGTCTGCGAAGACTTAAGCAGAGTGAAGCCCAGAGATTCTGATTTAATTGGTCTGGGGTATGTCCTACGCATTGAGACTTTTAAATTCCGCAGGTAAATCCAACATGTTACCGAGGTGGAGAACCACTGAGCTATCGTCTTGAACGTAGCTTTTGCATTTTTATTTTACCGCGCGCGCACACACACCCACGCACCTGCCCCATAAATGTCCTTCCCTAGTTTCGAGTCAAGGAAGAACCCTCTTCATTCAACCTCCTGGGGCCCAGTAGTCTAGCTCCTGTTGTCATAGCAACAGAGAGGCAAGCCCCTGCCAACAAGTCATCCTTAACGTCATAGCCACCTGACCTGAACACCCGTGAACACGTCTCTTCCGCGGGCCGGGGGTTCCCTAGTTTCCGGGGCTGGGGGATGGTGCTGCAGACTCCTCCAGCTGCTTGGGTCAGGGAGAGGAATCCTGTGCCCTCCGTGGTGGAGCTGCTGTTAACTCCTTCCCAGCTGAGTAAGGATCTCTCCCTAGTCCACTCACAAAAGCTCTTTTCTACTATAGCTAACCCCATTGCCGTATATCCTCAAAATGCTCTTTGCATCTCTCTGGCATCCTTCCTTGTGTTAAATCCAAAGTAAAGGGATAGGATTGAGACTCAGTTTCCACTGCTTACTAGCTGTGTGCCCTTGGGCTTCAACTACCCTATCTGTAAAATGGGACTAATAGTGCTTGTCTCAACTGTTTTATAGGGTTATTGGAAGGCTCAAATCAAGTAATGAATGGGAAGGCATGTGATAAATTGTAAATTGTTATTATTTTTGTTTTCCTTCTGTTGTGCCATGAGTAGTGCTGGGCAGCACCCACTAGTCAATGTCACAGCATTCGTTGAGAACCTGCTGTGGGCTAGGCACCACGAGATGGTTACAGAGATGACTAAGAGCCTAGTTTTCAGGGAACTCACTGTGTGGTAGGCAGACGGGCATGTAAACAGCTAGCTGAGATACAAGTCAGCATGTAATTAGTGCCATGGGGACCTATGTGCTGTGAGAGGTCAGACAGGGAGTGATTAACTCCTGCTAAAGAATGGGAGAAGGTTTCGTAAATGGTTTTGAACTTGGCCTTGAAGGATGAGTAGAATTTCATTACTAGTCAGAGAAGGTAGGGGACACATTCCAGGCATAGGGACCAGTGGGTATAAAGCTAAAGATTTTCAGGTATGTAGTCCTGCGTGTCTGAAGGTGGGGTGATTGGGTCAGGAAGATGGTAGACCCAAACTCCCCGTTCTTCAACTTCGTGTCCATTCTGTCTCCTTCTTGCTCATCATATACAGTGTGAACCTGCTTTCTATCACTGCAGTGCACCCAGTGGCTCCTCAAGGCCTTTGCACTGCCTCTACTCTGCCCCTTCCGCATTTTTCAAGCCTTAGTTCAAATGTCCCCTCCTCAGAGGCATTCCCTGCCCACTGTAGCTAATGTTAGCCGCCCCCACCCCGCCGTCCCCCCCCACCATTCTCTATAACATCACTCTGTGCTGAGGGCAGCCACTGGGGTGGAGCACAGAGACATCTCACCTGGGGAACTAGGCGTGGGCTTCATGAAGAAAGTGAGGCCTGATGGGAAAATAAGAATTGGGCAGGGCTAGAGGAGAGAGAAAAGCATCCCAGAGCAGAGGGAGAGTATGTGCAAAATAAGAATCAGGGCACCTTCCAAAAACTCAAAGCATTTTGATGTGGTTAGAGCTAGAACTTGGAAAAAGGCAAGAAATTAGGTCGAAGAAATCATCATAACATCTGACATTTATTAACACCATGTTACCATGTAACATTGGCATAACTTCACATGTCATAGCTCATTTAATCTTCACAATAACTTTCTGAGGTAGGTATTATTACCCCCATTTTACAAATGAAGAAACTGAGACACAGCAGGAGTAACCATCCTGCCCAAAGCCACATATGCACAAAATAGAACTGGCTCCAGAGTCTGTGCTCTTAATGCCCATACCAAGTGACCCTGCATTGTCATTTTTTTTTTAATGTTTGTTTTACTTATTTTGAAAGAGAGCATACACACAAGTGAGTGTATATGAGCAGGGAAAGGGCAGAGAGAGAAAAGGAGGGAGAGAATCCCAAGCAGGCTCCATGCTCCCAGCTTGGGTCTTGACGCGGGGTTTGAACCCACGAACTGTGAGATCATGACCTGAGCCAAGATCAAGAAGCTTAACCGACTGAACCACGCAGGTGTCCCTGCATTGTCATTTGTGATGTGATTTCCTAAAATGATGAAAGACTTATGGTAAAGTTCTCAACAACACAAAACAACACAATAAATGTATTCATTAAAAAAGCAGGTTATATTAAGTTTGTGCAAAAATGTTTCATGTTTGCAATTTCCTTTTTTGATAATATGACAGGCCAGACACCTGGGAGACCTCTCAAAAAACAACAAAAAATCCTGGATAGAAAAATATTAAAAAACATCTTAGGGGTGCCTGGGCGGCTCAGTCACTTAGGTGTCTGACTCTTGATTTGAGCCCAGATCATGATCTTATAGTCATGAGATTGAGCCTAGCATTAGGCTCCCAACTGGGTGTGGAGCCTGCTTGAGATTCTTAAAGAGTCTCTCTCCCTTGCTCTTTGCCCCTCCCCCACTCACACTCACTCTTTCCCTCTCTCTCTCTCAAAAAGCAAGCAAGAAAGAAAGAAAAAAAAAAAGTAAAATATCTTTGGGGCACCTGGGTGGCTCAGTTCGTTGAGCATCCAACTTCGGCTCAGGTCATGATCTCGTGGTTCGTGAGCTTGAGCCCCACATCAGGCTCGCTGCTGTCAGTGCAGATCCTGCTTCAGATCCTCTGTCCCCCTCTCTCTGTCCCTCCCTTGCACATGCTCTCTCTCAAAAATAAATAAACATACAAAAATAAAAGTATCGTCAGTGCTTCAATGAAAAAGTAAGGAATTTTCAGGGCAAAACAAAGTAAGTGAAGGCGGGGTTTGTAGAGAAGTAAGTAGAACACTGATGCAGGTTTTTGCTCTAAGGACATTTGCCTAACTAGGTGAACATGAGCTTTGGTCAGTGTCTCATGGAAAAAATAAATGCCTCAGAACCTCCTCAACAGGGGAGTTTAACAAAAAATTCTTCTTTGTAAAAATGTAACCCTCAAAGAAATAAAGGGCTTTATTTCTGGTAAGGGTGAACCAGAAATAAGTCTGTCACCTCCTCCCTTGGGTATAGGGTTAATGGAGATAGATTATAGGCCCAGCTAAGTGTGTTATTTTGTTTGTTTTTTTTAATGGATTTTTTCACATGGAATGTCCAATAGGACATTGAAAGCCATGTGGAACCTAGGATAATTCTTGGCTGTGTGGTTCTGTCCCTTGCATTGCAGCCCCCTAGCGTCCCTGCCCCCTGCATACCAAATGTCTACAGCACATCCTTATTGTTGTGGTCAACAACAACAAAAAAGCTCCCACAAATTTCCAGAATGCCCCCATAGAGAACCAATGCCCCACGGTACACTGTCAAAATTGATGGGAGCCAATTTATGAAGGACTTTATTAACTGTCGTGAAAAGTTAGATTTTATCTTCAGGTTGAGAGGGAAACCATTGAAAGATTTAAGCCGAGAAGTGCTGTGGCCCCTTTTGCCTTCCAGAAAAATCCATCTGACTGAAAGGTGGAGGATGGATTAGATGGGTCCAGATGGGAGGCAGAAACACCTGTTGGGAGGCTTCTGTGAACAGGTAAGTGGGAGATGACGGTTGCCTGTGGTGAGTGGCAGCGGGGCACCAGCCCGACACAAAGGCTTTGGAGGCAGGCCTGCCTGTCTGCAGAGCCAAAAGGCTTGAGTTTCAGTTCTCCCACTACTGAATAAGGTGAGACTTTGGGCAAGTTACTCAATCTCTACCAGCCTCAGTCTTGTCATCTATAAAATGGAGATAAGACTGGATGGAATGTGTCCAAAGTGCATACCCACTCGGAAAGCACCCGCTAATCTTAGCTATGATCATTATTAGGTATGAGCAGTAGAGATGGAAGAAGTAATTCAAGAGATATTGAAGAAGTGGAATGTGAGGGTTGAGGACAGGGACAAGCCCAAGATGACCCTCAGGCTTTGGGCTAACCACCTATGTGCACATGATGCTAACACTTAGCTTAGAGAGGCCCAGAGGAAGACAGGCCAGGACTAAATGAGCCCAAGGAGCCTGGTGAGGGAGCAAAGAGAGGTCAGGTAGACCACTACATATCTGGGTCTGGAACTTAAAAGAGTGATCCTAGCAATGTGGGACTCCTAAACTGTGGAGTAAGATGGCCCCTGACAACCCAGGACTCCTTGTATCCATGGAATCTGGGCCGGCCTGTGGCAACCTTTAATGCAGCGGAAGTCAGCTGCACCAGGTCCAGGGCTAAGCTTTAAGAAGACCTGGCAGCTTCCACTCTTGCTTTGGGGACCCCTAAGGTCTCATGTGGGAAATCAGCCTCTCTGCTGTGGACATCATCTGGAGAGAGAAGCTTGGACATGGAGAAAGGGAGGTTCAGCCATCCCAGCATTCCAGCTGTTGCCCCCGGAGTGGGAGACAAGCAAGCCAGCCATCATGGACATTCCAGCTCCAGTTACCTTCTGACTGTGGCCACAAGAGACACCCCCAACTAAGACAGCAGAGCTGTCCAGGTGAGCTCCCATCAACCAACTGGGAGGATCATGAGAAGTTATAAAATGGTTGTTGTTTTGAGGCACTACATTTAGAATAGTTTGTTATGCAGCAATAGATCTCCAAGCAGAATGATACTGATGAACTCTAAGTCCAGGTGTATAGTGAGAAGAGAAGAGGGCTTAGAACAGAGCCAAGGCACCCCACATGCAAGGACCAAACTGAGGGAGAAGGCTCACACGGGAGATTGAGATAAACAGGACAGAGGGAAATCCTGAGAGCGTGGTATCCTGGAAGTGGCAATAAGTGCTCAGGAAGGAAGAGTGGTCAGAAATATCAAATGCCAATGAAAGAACAGTTAGATAAGTATCCCTTGGATTTGGTAACATGGGAGTCAGTGACCTTGACAAGAACAGTTTCAGTGAGCACTGAGGGTGGACGCCAGATGCACTGGGTTGAAGAATGAAAAAAGCAACAAAATCAAACTGGAGTTACGGTTTTGGGGGTTGTTTATGTTTTTTTAATATGTATTTTTAAGAGAGAGAGACAGAGCATGAGCATGGGAGGGGCAAAGAGAGGAAGACACAGAATCTGAAGCAGGCTCAAGGCTCCAAAGTGTCAGCGCAGAGCCCAACACGGGGCTCAAATCCACAAACTGCGAGGTCATGACCTGAGCCGAAGTCGGACACTCAACCGACTGAGCCACCCAGGCGCCCTGGCTTGTTTTTTTGTTTTTGTTTTTAGAGTTACACCTATTGACCTGGGTGAATCTCACAAGCATAACCTTGAGGAGGGAAGGTTGCTGAACACTATACCTAGGAGGACAGTATTTATATAGTTTTAAAACATGCAAATATTAAAAAACTCTTAAAACTCAGTAATAAAAAGACAAATAACCCAATTAACCAATGATTAAAGGATCTTGGAGTGGATTGAATGGTGTCCCCCCAAAAATTCATGTTCACCTGGAACCTCAGAATTTGGCCTTATTTGGAAATAAGGTCTTTGCAGCTAAAATTAGTTAAATTGAAGCCAGGTGGGTCAAGATGAAATGAAATAGATTAGGGTGGGCCCTAAATCCAGTGACAGATGTCCGTACAAGAAGAGGAGAGGCCTCAGACATACACAGGGGAGAACTCCAGGTGAAGACAGAGGCAGATTGGAGCTATGTGTCTACAAGTCAAGCACACAAAGTTCACATAACAGGAAACCGTTTTAACCACTTGAAAGTGTACAGTTGAGCAGGTTTTATATATTCTCAGTATTGTGCAACCATCACCACTATCTAATTCCAGCACTTTTTCATCACCCCAAAAAGAAAACTTGTACCCATTAATAGCCTCTCCCAATTCTGCCTTCCTCCTGTCTCCTGGCAACCCCTAATCCACTCTATGTCTATAGATTTGACATTTCATACAATATGTGAGCTTTTGTGTCTGGCTTCTTCTACTTAGTGTAGTGTTTTCAAGGTGCATCCACATTGTAGCCTGTATTCGTGCTTCATTCCTTTTTATCACTAAATAATACTTCATTTCATGGATATACCACATTTTAGTTTATCCACGCATCAGTTAATGGATACTGAGTTGTTTCCACTTTTTGGCTATCACAAATAATGCTGCTCTGAACACTCTTGTATGATTTCTTTTTTGAGATGATGAACATGTTCTAAAGTCGATTGTGGCAATAGTCACGCGTCTCCGTGGTTATGCTAAAAGCCATTGAACTGTACACTTTAAATAGTGCATGTAAATATCTCAATAAAATTGTTACTCCCCAGAATGCAAAAAAAATATATTGTTCTGAGATGTATACATACACAGTAAATATTTATGGAAATACGGGGAAATGATACCACACTTAGGAAAGCGGTTGTCTCTGGGGAGAAAGGAAGGAGACGTGGCTGGGGACAGGCACCGGGGGCCTCAGCTGCAGGGTCAGGTTTTATTTCCTAAGCTGGATGGTGGAGACATGGGTGTTCATTACATTAGTCTTTAAACTTTTTGCGTGATCGAAAAATTACACATTTAAACATAATTTTTTAGCAGGAAAGAATGATTGAGATAAATAGGATATTTGCAAGATGCAAAAATCATCACATACAACAAAGAGAGAAGAAATATATTATCTTTTTCATGGAGAGATCTGGCAATCCTCCTGGACAAACTCAGCCATCACTGATAGGAACCAACCTGATGTTATTTGCCTCCTGGTACAATGGTATTAACAGCATCACCTATAAAGTATTCTTCTCTACGGGTGCCTGGGTGGCTCAGTGGGTTGAGCATCCAACTCTTGATCTGGGCTCAGGTTATGATCTTGCAGTTTGTGGGATTAAGCCCTGCGTCAGGCTTTGTGCTGAGCGTGGAGCCTATTGGGGCTCTCTCTGTCTCTCTGTCTCTCTCTCTCTCTCTCTGCTCCTTCCCCCACCCCCAAATAAATAAATAAACTTTTTAAAAAGTATTTTTTTTCTAGAATATTTAAGCTCCAGAAAACCACTATAAGGAATGTTCGCTAATTTGGGAGCTAAATTGTCCAATTTGGGAGCCACTAGCCACTTGTAGCTCTTAAACAATTAAAATGTGACTAGTCTAGCTTGACATATGCTGTTAAATATAAAATTAACAGCAGGTTTCAAAGACTTAATATAAAAAAAGTAAAATAGCTCAGTATTTTCATATCAATTACATGTTAAAATAACATTGTTTTGTATATATTGAGTTAAATAGACTATATTATTGAAATTAATTCGCCTGTTCTTTTTAAGTGTAACTACTAGAAAAATGTAAATTACATTAGAGAGGATGAAAGTATAAGGGAACAAGAGCATGGGGAAACAGAGAAGTCAAGAATCTGGGACATTTTACAAGACATCTCTCCTAGACTTCGGAAAGTCAATGTGGTTGGAAAAAAAGAAAAGAGTTGTTTTAAATTAAAAGAAACGAGATATAAGAACCCAATGCACTGCTGGGCCTTGATTGGATCAGAATCCCCCCACCTTAAAAAAAAAAAAAAAAGATTTAGATTTAATTAAAAAAAGTTTTTAAGTAATCTCTAGCCCCAACGTGGGGCTTGAACTCATAACCCCAAGACCAAGAGTCACATGCCCCACTGACTGAGCCAGCTAGGCACCCCCAGGATTTCTTTTTTTAAGTGTTTTGTTTTGGGAAGTTCTACACCCAATGTGGGGCTTGAACTCACAACCTTGAGATTAAGAGTCCCACGCTCTACTGACTGAGCCAGCCAGGCACCCCTCTTTTTTTTTAAGTTTTTAAAAAGAGATTTTTGAGACAACCTGGGAAAATCAAATAGAGACTGAATATTAGATGATATCTGAGAACTTCTGCTGGCTTTCTTAGGTGTGATAATGCTGTGGTGGATATGCGGGAAATTGTCCTTATTCTTAGGAAGTTTCCACTGAGGCTTTTAGGAGTGAAATGATACTAATGTTTGCAACTTACTTTCAAATAGCTTGGCAAAAGAGTGTGTGTGTGTGTGTGTGTGTGTGTGTGTGTGTGAAGAGAGAAAGGGAGAGGAAGTGGGAAAGAGACAACAAAAGCCAATTAGCAAAATGGTAATTGTAGAATCTAGAAAGTTTCAAGGCTATTCACTGTACTAATCTTTAAACTTTTCTGTGTTTAAGATGATTCATGATGGAAAGTTGGGGAAACAAGACAAAATAAAAAAGGAATGAATGGGAGATGAGGAGGTGGAGACCATCCTTTGCAGCAGTTTGGCCTTGAACTGCCAAGTGAGAGGGAACAATAAGCTGGAGCAAGCACGTAGGGTCAAGAGAGTGCTTTTTAAAAATGGGGAGATGCGGGGCGCCTGGGTGGCTCAGTCGGTTAAGCGGCCGACTTCGGCTCAGGTCATGATCTCGCAGTCCATGAGTTCGAGCCCCACGTCAGGCTCTGTGCTGACAGCTCAGAGCCTGGAGCCCGTTTCAGATTCTGTGTCTCCCTCTCTCTGACCCTCCCCCGTTCATGCTCTGTCTCTCTCTGTCTCAAAAATAAATAAACATTAAAAAAAATTTTTTGAAAAAAAAAAAGGGGAGATGAGAGGGTTTAAATGCTAAGTGGGAAAGAGCCAGCAGAAAGAGGAGCATGAAAGATACAAGCTATTCTGGTCAAACTTCTGACTCATGCCTGGGGATAGACCAACCATGTGAGAGATTCAGTACACCCCAAGAAATGTTCTACCCGCCTCCTAGCCCCAAGCTTCAGGAGAAAGAAATCATGGTGGTGACACCTAGTGGTTTCAAAGGGCACTGTTGAAATTCTTCACTCCTCTCTCTACACCTCCTCAAGAGGGCATCTCATGCTGGTCTTGTGACCACTCCAAATCATTTTCACCCTTTTGTTCACTGCTAGACCAGTCTACGATGTGCAATGCTACTAAGTAAGTTCGTCCTCTCCCCTCTCAGTCCACAGTGGACCTTGGCCACGTCTCTTGTCTCTCGGCCACTCTCCCCACAAGGAAGCAGAATTCAGACAGGGTGAGGAAGGGACAAGAAAGGATATATGTCCCCCACACCCCAGTCACCCAGCTCCAGTCAAGTGACCACTGCAGCCCTGATGAGTGCAAGATGGCCATTTCTCAGTTATTCAAGCTCTGGGGATTGTGCAGAGCTTAAACTGTGGTCTCCGGAGTCAGAATAACTGGATTCAAATTCTTGCTAGCTGTGACTTGGCCTCTCTGTGCCTGTGATGCTAAATTTCTCATGACCTTGGTTCTCATCTGGAAAGTGACGCTGATAGAGCCAACCTATTTGTTGGGAAGATTTTTTTTTTTAATTTTTTTTTCAACGTTTTTTATTTATTTTTGGGACAGAGAGAGACAGAGCATGAACGGGGGAGGGGCAGAGAGAGAGGGAGACACAGAATCGGAAACAGGCTCCAGGCTCCGAGCCATCAGCCCAGAGCCTGACGCGGGGCTCGAACTCACGGACCGCGAGATCGTCACCTGGCTGAAGTCGGACGCTTAACCGACTGCGCCACCCAGGCGCCCCATGGGAAGATTAATTGAGAGAAGGCACATAAAGTCAAGCACAGTGAGTGGCAAAGGACACCGTTCCAAGTGTCAGTTCTTATCATCACCCCTGAAAAAAGAGCAGATGACTGATGGCTCTGGAGGTGGCCAAGATGGGGATAAGGAGAATAGCCCACACCACTTTCTATGCCCTTCCTGGGGGTAGAAGAGCAGGGACAGAAAGGACTGGTCCCTATGATCCTGCACCAGGGCATGGAGTCCTTGAGGGTGCGACCAGCACCCTTTAAAGAGGGCAGAACCTGTCCAGCCCCCATACGTCTGGCTTCCCTTGTAAACAGTCCAGCAGGGCAGAGGCAGCTCTCAGTGCCTCCCAGTGCCTCATCCCTGACTTCCCACTTTTGCACTTTGGCCATCAAACCTGCTTCAAGGCCTAAGTCATCGTTCTCAAGAGGTTTTCTTTTATTGTCCCCACCACCACCCCCCCATCCTCAGACCAGTAGTGAATCTCTTTAGCTCAATTCCTAGAGCATTTATCATCTTGTGTTGTGTCCACTCTTACTGCTACTATTTCAACC